CAGTCTCTACCTGAGGGGAAAGCACCACGCCCTCCTCGTACCCCTCTTCAGATCTTTACCTGAGGCGAAGGCACCATTCCCTTACTCTGTACCACTATCCTCATCTCTACTTGAACTGAAAGTGCTATTTTCCCCATGAGCTGCTCTCCTGGTCTATACCCGAGGGGAAGGCGCTATTGCCCTCTGTACCCCTCTCCCAGCCTCTACCCGAGGGGAAGATGCCATCGTCCCCTGTACCCCTCTCTGGTCTCTACCTGAGGCGAAGGCGCCATTCCGCCCGCACCTCCCTCCTCCCCGTCCCCGACGAACGGCCACAGCGGCCGCCCGCCCTCGCTCCCTCCCAGCCGTGCGGGCACCGGCAGCGGCCGAGCGGCGCGGGGCGGGCGGCGAAGGCAACGGGGCGGAGCGGGGCGGAGCAGCGGGGCCATGGAGCGGCCCCGGCGGCGGAAGGGGCGACGCCTGCGGGGCGGGCGCTGCCGCCGTGTCGGAGCGGCCGGCGCTCGGCAGCCGCCGCCGGGCATGTCACCGCCCGGCCCCGGGCCCGGGGAGGCGGCGCGGCGGGACCCGCTGGCCGCCGACCTGCGGTGCAGCCTGTTCGCCGCCGCGCTGCAGAGCTACAAGCGAGACTCGGCGCTGAGGCCCTTCCCGGGCCGCTACGCCAGCGGCGACACCAAGGACTTCGAGGGGCTGGTGAGTGCCGGGGAGCAGCCGCTCCATGGGCGAGTCCGGGCTGCCCGCTGAGGGGAGGGCGGCGGCGCCTCGGGGGCATGGATGAGGCTGGATGAAGGGTTTATCTAGTCGCAGGATCCAGGTTTAAAAGCATAGTTGGGTTTCCGAGCGATAAACCCGCGCTTGGAAGCGCCAGCGTGGGGGTGTGAAGTAGCGAGCGATGGGTAACAGGTAACTAGAGGAGGGGAAGCGGCCTCAAGCTGCCTCAGGAAGCTTTAGATTGGATATTAGGGGAAATTTCTTCGCTGAATGAGTGGGCCAGCACTGGAACAGGCTGCCCAGGGAAGTGGTTGAATCACTGTTTCTGGAAGTGTTCGGAAAACTTGTACATCTGGCACCTGGGGACGTGGTTCAGTGGTGGTCTCGATAATCTTAGACTTAGTGTCTCTGTGATTCTAAGAACTGTTAGAAGAGCTTGCCCCTACATGAAATTCAATTAGTATCGAAGAGTTTGCATATTACATGGCCTGAACACCCCCGTGTCAGTCCTGCTGCAGATACTGCCCTGTGACAGCTTGTTTTCTCTCAAGAGTGTGTTTGATTGTTCCTGTGCATACCCTACGGATACTACTGGTAAATATAAATATTTGTAACTTCCCTAGTATTTGCTTTCAGAGCAATTGACAGACTTTCCCACAAACTGGATAGAAATGTTTATATCTCAGAACAGAACCTGTTTTTCAGTTTGTTGGGGTGAAATATTGTTTTGTTTTCACTAGAGGTCCCTGTTTAATCACAATGGAATGAAGGAGCTTGTGCTAAATGCCTCTGTTGTTAGCGTGCAGATATCGATGCTCTACCAAGCCTGAAAGAACTTCTGGAGTCTGTTCCAAACACAGAAAAAAGGACCTGGGATCTGTTCAGTTGGATTCTATCATCTAAAGTGTTCACGATACAAAGTACTAAGAAACACGAGGTAAATTTTGAATTCTTAAAGTCTAGATTAGAGTTTGTTATTTTAAGACAAACTTGCACTTCAGAGAGTATTTCCTCCTGCCAGAATTGGTTATTGTGAGAGCTTGTATATACAGAGGTGGTTGTTTTGTATGCAAATAAAATTTTCAGGAACACTGGTTGGAAGAAATAGTTATCACTGTCAGTTGTTGATGATGGGCAGTGATTGTAGTTGGTTACTTGCATTAATGTAGCATGTATGTGAATGTTCTAGACCAAGATAGCCCAAGTTGTGTGTCACTGAGAAAGACAACTCTGTCTTCTGCCCCCAAAATGGAAAGGTTCAGCACCACTGAGGTACTTCTGTAACAGGGATCAAAATAGTTGTAGAGATTAGCAGCAAGATGAAAACAACTTCTGTTTTCACTTTTTTTCCTCTTCCAAGATCAGCTGATGAATGTATCGTCTGAGTAGCCAAAGTAGAATTGCGATATCGTCCTTACATCATCAAATAATTCCTAATCACAGTTCAGGGTTGTTTGGGGTTTTTTTTTTGGAAAGAAGAATTAGGGTTTAACTTTGATAGCAAGAAACTGTCAGAATTTTTACTGTCTGCTTACTCCTTCTGAATTGTGACAGTGTTGAATTCTAACTCAGAAAAGCATAATCAGAATACATCAAGCAATGTGAAGGGACAGGAAGCAGAATTTCCACTGAGTAATCTGACCCCATAAACCAACACTCATATTCCTTCCTGTTTTTAAGTACGAGAAGATCCAGGAGCTTACAGGGATGTCTGGGACTGCAGCTCCTGCTCCAGACTATCTCTTTGAAGTTGTATATTGTGATCAAATGAATACCAAGTTTGCTGAGACCAAGGGAGAGCGGGACCTTATCTATGCCTTCCATGGGAGCCGCCTGGAGAACTTCCATTCCATCCTGCACAACGGCCTGCACTGCCATCTGAACAGGGTGAGGCTCCTACTATTGGCAGTGTCTTCTCTTTGTCACTTGCAGATATGGACACTTTTTAAAAACAGGCCCAGAATCCTCCTGGGGGTGTGAAATGCGCTGATGATCTTGTGCTGCTGTTTTCCCTTCAGCGTAGGCCTTAGTGGATGGTTGTGTTGGATTTTCCAGTGCAGCCCAAGGGTAAAAACTGGAAGTGGCGTGAAACCCTTTTCTCCAGCGTGACAAATTATGACTATCCTTTGCTGCTTTGTAAGCAAGTGTAATTCCTCTGAAAGTATTGGCTTGTCTGACAGCCTCCAGCTGGACAGTGCCTGTCCAAAAGGGTGGAGGAGGATAGTGGCCCAGGCATTGTAGAGATTCTCTCTTTCTGCATGGCCTCGTGTTTAGGTCAGCAAAGTTTTAGGTGCTACTCACAAGTGGAGCCTTCTTTAAATGGCCTGGTTTAGGGAGACATCCCATAGGATTTGCACCTCTTCTGATTTCAGTGGAAAGGCAGTTGGAACTCCTGGCTTTTTGTGTCAGCTGTAAGTCAGCTTTGACACAGCACCTGCTTGACCTTCCAGTCAACCTGGACTATGCCTTTTCCCCACATTCTAAATGAGTAATGGCTTACCGGGTACAATGGATTTACTGGATTAACAATTTTAGCCAGTATGGCAAATCCTCTGATTCCAAGTTATTAAAACACTTTTATTTGAAAGGCATTCATAACTGAAAAGTACTTCCCTCTTTTCTAGTAAAGCATGGATTTAATCCAAGTAAGGCCTTGCCTTGTTTGGGGAGGCTGGATTATTTAGATGATGACAATCTCAATAAATCAATGAAATGCCTTTTAACAGCAGGGCAGTCATGTTGATGTAAAATACTTATGCTGGCAAATGAAATCCAAATCTGGGAAAGCATTAATCTGTCCACACCAGGGGCTGTGCCAGACAGATAATTTGAGGGATAGGAGAGGGCAGCAGCCCCACCCCGAGGAAGCTGTGCCAGGACAAAAACAGTGCATGTTTTTGTTTGGCCTTTCTGACCAGGCCCAACACGGGTCAGAAAAGCCTTTTGTAATTTACCTTCAGAAGCAGAACTGTCAGTCTGAAAGCAAAGAACACTTGTATGTTGTCTGAGGTTTGCACTAGAGGATTTTAGGATGGATTTCTGCTCCATTTCAGACGTCCCTGTTTGGTGAAGGCACCTATCTGACCAGTGACCTGAGCCTGGCTCTGCTCTACAGCCCTCACGGTCTCGGCTGGCAGCGAAGCGCACTGGGCTCTGTCCTCAGCTGTGTGGCTGTTTGTGAGATCATTGACCACCCAGATGTGAAGTGCCAGGTGAAGAAGAAAGGTGAGTCTACCGCAGTAATAACTCTGTGTAGTAACTACATCTGTGCTTCATGTTGTTTTTCTTTCTCTGTTAATATTAGCAGCTCCTTGAGCACTGGGTGGGAGACCCACCTCCTTGTCACTCTGGTCTGGGCCATAATGTCATCCATACCAAGGATGACTAGGAGTGGTATAGCCTCAGGCAAACTTCTCGGTCTATTCTTGGATGCTGAGGGATTCAGGGGAATACCAAGACTAGATCTTTGGTTATCTCATTCCCATTCTTCTGGTGGGTGTGTATGTGTGTGTTGGTTGCTTGCTTTTTTCACAGTTGCTTGACGTTCTGTGTATTTTGTTTGCTTTTCTGTTCCCTCTAAACCCTCTTTTCTCCTCCCAATTCAGATTCAGAAGAAATAGACAGAAAAAGAGCAAGAGTGAAGAACAGCGAAGGGGGGGATGTACCACAGAAATACTTCGTTGTCACAAACAACCAGCTTTTACGAGTTAAATACTTGCTAGTGTATTCACAGAAACAGCATAGGAGGTAAGAGTTCAGCTGTCTAGAGTGATGAGTGTGCTATAACAGCCAGATAAACACTTTTCATTGTTGAAAAGCAACACAAAACAAGCAAAAAAATACACTGCACTGCCAGAATTTGTTTTCAGCCTGTTTCCTATGGAATTGAGGCTTACAGCATCATGTTGCCTCTGTCTCACTCTTTGACATTCTCAGGCTCAGCTAAATTTCCTTTTTCACCAGACCTGTAAGCACTTACTATCTTTGAGAGCTCTAATAATCTGTTTGTGGCAGGAGACCAAGAATGAAAGTCTGGTGAGTGTAGCTCTTAAAACTAGGGCAGGTTTAATTCAGCTCTTATCTATCCTGAGTGGCAGCATTCACTCGGCTAATCAACACATGCCTGAGGGCCAGGCAGCTACAGCTCCAAACCACAGAGAAAGGTGTGAACATGGGGAG